GTGCACGAAACTTTGTCAGGAAGGCTTGTCCCAAGGCTGTGGGTCTAAGACTTTAATCACCAGCCAAGTTAGAGGCGATGCTGCTACGTGCGCGCATACAGTCAGGCCTGTGATTATCAGACCGGGATTGTGCATGTGTTGGGCTTGGGTCGTTGAGTGTTTGCCTTGCGGTGAGCCAGTCAGGCTGAGCTGCGCTGACTATCACGCGACAAAAGGAACCTTGGCGACTTAGGCGCACTTTCAGGAACCCATCAGGTGGAAAAGAGACAGAGAACTCATACATGCTTGAGTGTTTGCCAAAAGCACCTTAGCCTTTTTCGCCAACTGAGGTGTCGACGGCGAGTTCAATTGGTAAGTTAATGGTACGGCGTGACCCCGTCGTCATACAAAAAGGGTATGATTAAGATTGCCTTTAGCACCGCTTGGCATTTAGCGCTCCCGAGAAATAGCTCTCCCAAATAGCTCTCCCGATACATTCCCCATTTTCATTTAAAGATGGCAAGGTCCTGATCATTCATCGCCGGCTTAATACCAAGCAAATCAGAATGGACGGACCTCCCGGCAAGTGGCAAGGTCAAGTCCCTCCTCTCCCACAGACCGTTTGCGCTAACCAATCCTTGCGGGATTCAAAGACGCCTGGTCTTTCCCGGGCGGCGGCCTGGACTAGGACGAGACTCCAGAAGAGGCGATTGTGCGTGAATTTGGTGAGGAGGTTGGCCTAAAGGTGGTAATCAAGCCCATCGGAGACGAATCGGTGTGGGGCGGGGTGGACGACTTCTTGGATGATCAATGGCGCTGCTTTCTTCTTCGTGCTCGAGCAGGTTGATTTAGAGCAGGAACCTAAGGTTGGTTGATGACGTGTTTCTTACACCCCGCCCTTTATTCGTTGTTGCTCTCGGGAAGAGCCTGGAAAATACGGATGCTGACTACAACTTGTCCGCGACAGATTATGGAACCACGCAAGCACGTTGCCTTGAAATGGATCGAGTGGCATAAGTTATGGGCCATGATTGAGGCCGATATAGCCGACGACAGCGGGAAAGAAGAGTCTGGCGATAACAAGATGCGTTTCTTCCCGTCGATGAAGAATATGGTCCAGAGATATCCAAAGCGCCTCGACGAGGCTTGCTTGGAGAAGCGGCTGTAACGGGTACGCGTGTCTGGGCCCCAGATGGCAACGTCGCCATCCTGCTTTCAAAGCTATCATGATCACCTTGTTAAGTTTTTGTTCATGGTCTGAGCTTGCGCGTTAGGCAACATAGCAGTATCAGTGCAAAATATAAACTATAATCTGGTATGACTAAGGTTGGGTAACAAACCCCTTTTCGATTTGATGACCGGTATGGTGGTATATCAAGCGGGCTCGACCACTTCCAGGGGAGTTGCTACGGCCCAATACAGCAAGCCTTCGAACACCTATCGCTACTCTTTCGCCTTCGTTACGCTCCTTCCGCCTACGTCCCTGACAGGAGTTCACCTCGATCTGTTTTTAGTGCTTTTGTTGGGAAGTTTATAGCTAAAATAGAGTAGCAAGAGCACGAGCCCCCGTTCCTTTACAGCCCGTGCTCTCTCTTGTTTCTAACAGTTGCCCATATACCAGAGTATCTGAACCAATCGGTTTTTTGGGTTTCTATCTGCACTACTGTAAACCCTTTAGAAGTGGCCACGAGGATCCACCAGTATCTTGCTCTACGACCATAGATTTATGACTTTCGTATTTGCTGATCGTCTAGGCCCCTTCGTATAGCACGCTAAGGTTTTTTGAGTAGTTCAGGACCAAAGCTGGAGCTGTAGGGCGATTGGGTGCGAAATCAGCCGATAATACGGGGATCTTGCGCCAGCGGAGACTGTGAAGATGCTGCTACGTAGAGGAATTAGATATAGTTGAAGCCTCAAGGATGGACACATGGCTAGATCTGATTTAATTGAGCCATCGCAGCTGTAAGTTGATTTACCAAGGACTTTTTCCGTATACCTCCATTTCGCTGTTGGACGGGTCACGTTACTAGATCGTACCGGATCGTTGTGAACGACGTTCAACGGTAGGAATACTGGTGTCCATTCTTATGTTGCCTTTTGCGGGCTTCACCTCATGACCGCCGTTCTACCTTCTATTGCAGTGGTGGAGTGTTGGACTTCTCAGGAATGCCAAATGAATGGTTCAAGGTCTCTGTCTTTTTCTATGATGTTGCCTGTTCTCTTCTCTATATATACCTGGCAGGAATTTGATCTAAACTTGCTCATTTTGCATCATCCTGAAGTACTCGGAACAACAAGTGATTCTCTTGCCGTTCCAACCAGGTTTCACAGGTTTTACTGACGTTTTGATAGCGATTTATGAGTGATTCATCGCTCTCCTTGATACCTCGGATCTATCGATGGTCCGTAGGCATTGGTCAGTCCAACATGTTGGCGGCGACCTTGGCGGGATACTCAGTCTCGAAGTATGCGAACGGAGTGTCGTAGAAACAACAGTCGCTGTTGATGGTGATGCCGTAGGCCTGGAACGAAGGCACGGTGACCCCGGTCTTCGATAGGGTGGTATCAGCCGAATGCAGGATCCACCGACGCCAGGGTTTACGACAGCGGCAGAAAATGCTCGAACACAAGTCATCCAAGGCGTTTTCGACGTGTCCACACATCGATAGAGGCTGCATCGAAGGCTGCGACGTCAATTGAGATGGTGCAGTCCGTTTCTAGGAGCAATCGAGGCAGGGCGGGTTGTAGGCCTCGACACCGCGCAACGACTTTTGTTCGAACGATCCGGTCGCACTATCCCCAATCCCGATCGGTGGGGTTCATGTCCCAAAGCCTCAGCCATACTTTCGAGAGGATCCGCGGGGACACTAGCTTCCCCTGATATGGTCCGTCTCAGTCATTTCGGCACACCTCTAGAGGAATTCGAGGCCTTTCCATGGCCGGATTCTCGTCACGAAGATGAGGCGTTGCCTGGGTCAAGCAGTGGCAAGCCGTCGGCCACCGCAGCGGTGCGCGGACCGGATGTTGCGGCGCCCTCCATGGTGCACACGGCACAGCTTGAAAATAGTGAGGTCAGGAAGAAGAGATTGATCAAATAACGATCAATTTATGTGGTCCACGTAGGTCTGCGTCAGCCGAGGCACAAGATCGTGTATTCCAAACGTAGCAAAATTGCCAAGCCATTCTTGGCTGTGGCATCGATTGAGAATCAAAACAAACAACATCCATCCTTCGTAACTTACTGCATTCCTGCTCTGATGACGCTAGAATTGTATACTACTCTTGGATGGTTGCCTTGCTGACACCGGACGTTGAATTTGGATTTCGTGAACCCGTCCCACGACCTCCCGTCACCGCGCGATTCTCGACCCAAAGCCCTCCTCAAATCGTCATCCGTCATCCCGGTTACCAATCTAGTCGACTGATTGACCTTCCCGCCTTCGATGGTGGTGAAGATTGTCCGGGCATTCATCATGGAACTGTTCTGTTGATCTGTGGCTTCTTCGCGGACAACAACTTCGATGGTTGGTTGTCACCGACCAGAGGTGGGGACCGGTTGCCGCTCGGAAGCAACGACTTGCTTCCTGTGGGCGAATACCAAAGGCTTCATTTTCACCTGGAAACGAGGTTCTTGGAGGTCCCACTTCCTGGCCTCAAGGGCCAACTTCGGTTTCGACTATCATAACAAAAGGTCAAAAATCACGCGAATTGAGGAACACATTCTTTCCTCGAACGTGAAATTCGAGCCCTGCAAAGAGCAGAGGTCCGAGCCCATCGAAACGAAAAAGGGGCGGAGCGGACCATGAGGATGTGGAGGTGGGCGGTTGGGCAGCTCAGCGACCCCGCCTCGAGATCGACCAGTCGAATGATGGCGTGTATCGCCACGAGGAACCCGTGCTTGAAAATCCACCTGCAGCAACTCCAGACCTGATCGACTGCGAGACAAGCTCCGAGGGTTCCTTAATGCCGGTCAGCCTGCCTGAGAAAATCACACCGACCTCCCTTCCTAGGATGAACACATCGCAAGACTTCGTCACCAGGCACTGGTGGACCAGCGCAAGAACAGCGCACGCCTCATGTGCTGTGACTATAACATGGCGGAACAGCAAATTGCCGCTGGCGTGGAAGGGGCGAAAATGTATGGAGGAGCACCTGTGTGCATGCGGTGTCTAGGCGTGGAATTTAACGATGAGATTACGTAGAGCTCGGTTCCCCCCCTAAACGGCGCCGCGTTCTCAAGCCTTCTCTGTTGTTGCGCTCGGGAATGAGGCGAAAACGCCTTCCGACATACTCATGATTGGGTGCGACACCCTGGATCAACCTTCGCGTACCCTTCCTGCGCCTCTAACTCTTCGGCAATGTCCTGAAGGCCTGGGAGTGCCCTCTGTCATATTCAAGATGCTGGAAAGTGCCGGGTGGGATTCCCTGACCATATCACAACAAGAACAATGTGTTGACAGGCAGAATTTTCCACCCATGGCGCCGACATTTTTCACAATCTTCACATCTGGGATTGCGATGGGCTCCTTCAAAGCGAATGGAGCGGAAGGTTCTTCCCAGCTATCCAAAACCACATAGCTCAGGTGGACATCCTGTTATCCACTGCATCCAGGGAAGAAACCCTGCCTCGTCCTACTTGATCTAGGCGAAAGTGGTCAAGATTTTTGTGAAGGTATGGTTTTCTCTATCTATGTAAGGCATGCCGCGAGTATCGAAGTGTCGCACTGTTCCTGCGTAAAGCGATGAAAGGTTAGTGATCTCGATGATAACACCAGTATTATTTCCTTGATTGATTATTGTCCGAGGCACTGTACACGGCAGGGTACCCCGTCCCGCATGGTACCCGCGAAGCGCACAAACTTGACGGCTGACCCCGCTGTTTCACAAGGCTACGCCAGGATCATCCCCAACCCGCGACGTATTGCCTGTCGAAACATCACGCGGGAGGATACCTGCCTGGTGCAAAAATTTATAGCAGACCATGAACATACGTCGAGCGGAGTCCAACTAAGGGCCTCCGGTTAACTCGCCTTCTTGCCCACCCTGACCTTGAGCCCGACATGAAAAAGTCGGCCGTCACGGACGTCGCGATGAAGCTCCTCCACGGCCTCATCGAACTCGTCCACGATATCCCCCGCCATGATCGACCGAACCCCTCTCGACATCTCTACCATGGCCGACAGAAAATTTACAGTTTCGTGTCGGAACTGGCTCCTTCTCGGAGGACAGTCATATTCCCGAACCACGGCGAACCCTCCACTTTTCATCCTCGTCGGCAAGTCCTCCAACCATGCGATCGAGGTCGAGATCCGCAGGAGCTGGGTCGCGATAGTCGGAGGCCGTTTCCATGTCGTCTGGGCTTGGGGATCTTCGTCGTCGTGGGCACAGACAACCGGGAGCGACAAATCCAAACATTGGATCCAACCTCCGGGTTTCAGCATCCGGAGGAGGTGGCCGAGGAAGATGTTCATGTCACAGCCGTGCAAGTTCCCCGCTACCATGCGGGCATTCGCCACATCGAAGCGGCCGACATACTGCTGGGGAACCGGCTCCAAGACATCCACTGTTGTAAAGACGCAGTCCTTGGGCCACGTCCACGCGGGAGGGAATTGAGCCGAGGAGATGTCTGTGCCCACCACCTTTGTCCCCGGATAGGCCTGGGCCACATCGAGTGCCCAAATGCCATTGCCACAACCCACATCGAGGATTTCCATCGACGTTTTACCCCCCACGTCTTTGACGATATCAGCGTTCAATAATCCACCAGCGCGTTCGGTGAAAAGGTAGTGCTGAGCGTATAAGCGAGACTCTGCCAGTATGTCGCGACCCAAGAGATAACCGTCGCGGGGGTTGGTAGAAGCCATGGTATCTGATGGTGGCACGGCACCGGAGCAGAGATGGGAATGGCTGACACAATGAGAGCAAGACGGTCTTGACGGGGCGGTATTGAAGAATCCTAAATCCCCGGCGGTTTCGGACCTTTTTCATACTTGCCGGCTGTGCCATAGGAGATACTTTTAGACTAATTTGTACCGCTTGGTTCCTGCGCGATGTGGCCTAATGTTCACCCAATCAGAGAACAGAGGGGGTGGTTACCGTATGGGGCAAGAGAAGTTTTTCTCATTTGGCGAGAAAGCCTAAATTAAGTGCGCCAGCAACTCTGTAGGACAAGAGGCGAACAGGGGATGGCAGGTCACAACAGGTGTTAGGAGGGGCTGCAGAGGTAACTTAATTAGAGGACCTCATGTTCAGCTCCCAAAACGGTAGGGGCGAGTTAGGTGAGAAGCTCGTATTCCCTGATAGTCGGCTACAAGAGCGATGGCCAAATACAGTAGTAGCCGCAAATCTAGTCCTACCTTCTTTACTTTGTGATTCCCATCACATCTCGAAATGTAGTTTGACTCTGCTCGAGCTTATCCAGCCTGTCGACGCAGAAATCTCTTTGTCGCTTTTTACAGAGGTAGGCTCGACAGTCACTTTGAATACCTCATCGTTCGCTCAACTTACTGATTAGACCTGCGTGATATGGTATGAGGCTCAACCGACTATTATAAGGTTGACGGAAATCATCTCTGTCAACCAATATTTCTCTTGATTCAGAGCACAATTCATAAGCCATCTTCATGTTTACTCTTCTGAACTTCGGGGACTGCCAGCGAGCTAGTGGTGGCAGCTCTAGTAGGGTTAGATTGACCCGCTACGGTTCCAAAAAGACTACTATACTGCTTCTCAGTGAGATGCAGAAGATCCTCTGCCTTCATTGAACATAGAAGTTCGCTCGATTGGTCCTTAGATAGCGTTTTCTTGATATCGAATAGATCCGCTAAAGTAGTCACCACTACTTGATCGCTGTCACCTTTGGCAATCGCCCCTCCCCAATTTTGTGCACCTTTTGACGTAAAATTTCGCTAGCCATTTTGCAAACATCTAGGCACTGCTTTGAATTTTTGATGTCTTGCCAGTAATTGCGATCTCTCTTCATTTTCAGGGTCGTCATCTTGAATTAGGGGGCGTTTCCGAAGGTAGCTGATGGTCTCTGCGAAGGTATCTCGACTTTCATCCATAGCTTGACGCGTCCGTAATTGCGCTTCGGAGCATTTTTCTTCAATATCGTCTTGGGGTGTGTCTGGAAGTAGAGACGATTCTCGGTCTGACAATTCGATGGACTCGCTGGTACGTTGTTTTTTGCGGCCCCTCAATGCTTCTTCATCCGACCACTCGACGTCGAACTCTTCCAACTCTTCCGACTCCTGCATCTTCGATCGTTTTTTCGGACTGGCACTCCTGGATTTGCCTTGAGATGCCGTTGCTCTCGAAAATTGCTGACATCTCTCAAAATTACAAATCTCCGTCGTCCAGGTATTTTCGGTCCAGAGGAGAAGCTTTCTTGCTACTCTTGCGTCGAGAAAGTCTCGCAAATCCTCAAAAACTGTGTATCCAAACCGGGCGAGAAGGAGTTGGGGTGGGTTGTTGAGCCTATGAAGTTCAACCCCATGACAGAATCGCTCGATGTGTGACCCTGGCCGCGCATTGAGGCAGTAAGCCACAAGTCGTCCGCCGGCCGGGACGATGGCAAAGCGTTTGGAATCGAAGATGGTGTGAACGTCGCTCTTAAAGCGGATGGTGTTATTTGGATGGTTCATCTTGTCCACTGCAGTGGAATCTGTGTAATCAGACATGGAATTCTTGTCAAACCACTCCTTTTCCACCGCTGGGATCAGGTGAGCGTTTTCCACGGAATAGTCACACTGTGTGAGCCTACAGCGCGAGTCGGGTGGAGGCTGTGGTCTCTGGAGGAAATTCGAAATCTCTCTCCAGTAGAGAGGAAGAGCTGTCGGGAATCGCCAGTGTTCGAAAGTGGGAACAACGGGATAGTCCACGACCTCTCCTAGTCAACGTCAGAAAGGTGCGGGCTTGTATCCGAAAGGGTGGGCATACCGTTAATAGGCTGCGCTACGTGAAAATAGTATGACTTCCTCGTAAGGGTGCTCTCAGTATTCTCAACAATTGGGTCGTTTCCACCTCTGTCAGTCGAAAGATAACCTACCCATGCGTTGTTTGCGACGATTGCACATGCAACCCGCACCGTTTCGTGATGCGCATGTGACCAAAATTTAAGGAGGACGTTACAGGAATCATCCTGATAGCATGGATGTCGGACCTTGATGGGCTCAAAGTCGGTAGGACGCGTTAGTTTCTGCGGATGAGATGGTTCAGGATAAGGATCGTAAATTTGCCAGGTCTCCGGCTTGCTTATATTACCTAGATCAGTCATCTGGATAGATCGGTGCAAGGGATCATTGTCAGCGGCGATAAATGGTAGCAGCTGGAAAATGCTTTGTTTACGTTCCTGCGCGTGGGGGCCGGCAGGGCTGGAAAAACTATTTACCGAATGTGTACCCGCCTTGGCACCTCACAGAATCACTTTCGTGACTAGCGGATCTGCCGTGCAACTACGCTGAGCAGCATTAAAGATAGCCAATCTTTGGCGTTACGTTCACGGCAAGCCTCTAACGGAGTACAAAGAGCTAACGACAGCACACTGATAAATTATGGCGACGAACGATACAGTATGTCAAACATCACCATTACTCTACCATTTCCTCCACAATTCCCCTTACCCGGCGCACCCTTCTGCCTCAAATGCAGCAATCCAACGCAACGCAAGCGGACTCTAGATACAAATTCCCACGGCAATGCTGGTCGATACTACTACATTTGCTCGACATGCAAGGGCGATGCAACCCCACAAGGTCAGATAAATGTAGGTTAGTCTACCAGGGATGACAATATTGGGGTTGATGATGATAATCCACATTGCGATTGCGGTCATCCCGGCAGGCTTGATTACGACAGATGGGGCCGAGGATTCTGGACTTGCGCTACAGGCGGCTGTCGGTACTACTCTTCGAGACCGGATGGCCACACGACAGGATTTGTATATGCAGAACCGAGGATACTGATACTACGCTCAATAAGGAACTTCTAGTCGCAAAATGGAAGGAGGTCAATCGAAAGCGGATTGAGCTGGAGCAACTGATAGCTCAAGAGAAGAAAGAGTCAAAACAACATCAAGTTGGAATGGCAGCAGGCTGAGAACAAGACGCAAGCCAGGTCTGCGGCGCACTCAAAGACCTCGTCAATACACAGCGTGAGGAGTACAAGGCTCGGACTTGGGCTTTTTCCACCTACCCCGACCTCTCGCTTTTGGGAGAGGAGTATTGTACGGGAAGTACCGGAACGATGTTTTCATTACTGGGCTAAATTTTTTCCAGTACAGCGTTTTGTGTGGTATTAGAAAATACTAATGGGATAGATCCTGTGTTTAGTCATGTTTAGATCTACAGATAGACTATTGCTGATTTGGGCATAGCGTTGTCTACTTATATCGCAACTTTCGAGCGAGAAAGTTAAATTACAATGTATCCATAAAGGGGAGGGCGGTTTCGGGAACGGCTGTAATGCCATGCTGTAGTTATCAATCTAGTAGGAAAACTGGAATACTGTACTGGATGGCAGGCATTACCACAGCCTTTAGGCTGTAATGAAGACCTGGAGCGGACCTCATCGATGGCGGGTAGAATATTGCGCTTGAGCTTTTTAGAAGTCGTATATTTCTCATCTTCAACGCAAGGAGTATATCGCCCTTTTTCGTGACATAGAATTAAATTTACTTATTAAAGCCTATAGATACTCTATATAAAGTAAGGTTAGAAGACCATATTTGTCTAATATTGTCTCGGCGGCAAGCTGGCCAACCAAAAGTTTGGGCGATGTGGATGTGAGGGTTTTAATAGGAGCTTATTCAACTACTATAGTACCTGTCTAACAAGGACGTTAAGCTAAAGAGAAGAGGGAAAGAAGTCCTGCTGCTATCCACCAAGGAGATATAATCTCCTAAGTAACCGTTAGTATCACGTGATATCGTTCAGCTGTGCAACTGAACGGTCGAATCCAGACATCGCTGGTTCTTACCAAGACATCCTACGGGTTCAACCCGTGACAGTGGAATCTTATTGGGCGGCATCACGGGGAGCAATGAGTCACGGACTGTACGGAGGTGTGCACCAAAAGTTGAGACCGAGCCATTTGAAAATGACGAGGGATCGTCATGTTTTATGGTCTATTTAGGTCTGACAGCCTAATTATTATAAGACCTTCCAGGTATTCTCAGGGACAAAGTTTACCTAGAACTCCCTAGGAGACCTTCCTAACTTCACCTAAGTCTCGAAGCTATTAGGTCTGCCTTAGGGCCTAAGATAATCTCTAGGGCCGTTGCCCTGGCAACACAATTAAAATAAAGTCTGTCTTTAAAGCTGGCTGGGCGTCATTATAAATATGTGTCATTTTACACTAGCGCAGTCTCAACTTTTGGTGCACGCCTCCGTAGTTTAGAGCGGCTGGTTGCTCACAGCTTAATTAATTCCTTGCTCTCAGTACGACGTTCGATTTAATCGGTCGCACCGTCAGGACCAAGGTTACTAGGAAAATTAGGGGGCAGCGTGAATCTGCCAGGTTCCCTGACCCCCCCGTCCGAAACATGTACCTAGCAGAGAGGCAAGCATAGCCGTTAGGCCACCAGTGTGTTCGCTCAGGGAGTTCTCAGGGGGCGCTCAGTGATGCTCAGCCAAGGGCTCAGTTAAAGCTCAGGTTAAAGCGGCCTTCGCTCACCCACCCACTAGGATCAAACTGCAAATGGCAATTAGGTTTTTCGTTCTCGAGAGAATACATAGGTACTCCGTAGTCGTTCAGCTCGGTTAACTCGCTCGTCTCGACACCGGCGTAGCGCTAAACCTGATTAGAAAAAAGGCATGACACATTAAGAAGATGTGTCGCACTTTTCCTGCTAAAGTGATTAAAAGGTCAGATAATCTTGATGCAAGCAGCAGTGTTATTTTTCTAATTGATTATTCTCTGAGGTGCGGGAGGGGGCACTCCATCCCGCAGTTATATATGAAGCACAGAGCTGGATTACTAATACAGTTGTTTCCCAGGGCTTGCCAAGATCATGCCTATCCTGCGACAAGATGCAATCACAAGCATTTATATTCCTCCTTGCACTCCCTACCTAGGTCTAATACTTATAAAAACTACCCAACTTAAGTACTCCAGTGCATATGTACTAGTCAAGCCGGTACTAAGTTAGCGAAAGTAAGGTTCCTTGCCATGTTGACCGACTTAGGTATGACTTAAGTAATGCAGTAAGTAAGGCCCTCCCGACGTACTTACTCCCCCTATACCTAAATTATATTACTGAGTCGAGCGTCCCAACCGGACTATTGGACAAATGCATCACCGGACTGCTGGTGCCTGTTACTAAATAGCTACTACTTAATCTATATACTTAAGTATGGCACTATGAAGTCAAGTACTAATACTATGCCCACTGGGGCCGACTCTCTCTCACTCGAAAGTATGGTGAAAAATTCCTAAGAAAGCTGCCAAAAAAGTCTATCTCGTGATTCATCAAAGCGCGCCTTTTCCCCCCCACAACAAACGAATTTTTGTGGATTCTACATCAAGCACTTGGTGCTCAAACGCCAGCCCGATCATCTAGTGCTGTCCCGCTGCATATACTAGGATTAGACCGACCCTCTTGCTTACGAAGTCTACTACTCACAGCTTGAAACCAAAGCCGATCGAGCTCCAGGGTGGGAGATTTTTGCCCGCTGTGTGAGCTGCCTTGACGAAAAATACAATCTAGGAGATTTCGCAAAGTGATGTCAACGGAGTCGGCCGTCATCCGCGATGTCATATAATTGTGCTGCTCCGAGTCCTGTTCTCGATCTATTAGAAGCCAGCAGTGGGTGACCCGGCAATGTACCCTTTGAGGCACCCTCCGTAACTAAGCAGACTCGGTACAGCAACATCCAAGGATGAACCTCCTACAGGAGGAGTCCGCATAATCTTGAGTCCCGGGATTGCGTCACACGCTCTATTCCACGTCAGCTGTCATGCAGGACCAGCAGACACCAGTCTTGAACTCAGCTTCAAATGGATTTTGAGGGCTAACCTGGGGTGAAGAGCAACACCCGGGGCAGCTAATCAGTAGGGACAATGAAACATGCGGTGGTAGCACCGTACCACCGCTCGTCATTGGGCATAGCCGGATTGGAATGAGTTCCGGAGCGGGAGGCTGGGCCGCAGCCTGTCGACGTCGAGATGGACGGAATGAGATTGCTTTCCGATCAGCATCTAAATCTTGTGAGTACTCACTCTGCTTGGAACCAGGAGGAATACTGAACTCACCCTCAGGACATCTAGACATCGCCGGGATCCAGCGTCTAGGTAAGAGGTGGCATGGAGAACTCGAATGCCACGCTCTGCTTCCTTTTGAATCGCCGTGTACTCTCTATGTTCGTGCTGAGTAGCAAGAAAATAGAATAGTGTGACGATCGAGAGAAAGACGATGTATGTCAACTGCCATGAAGCAGGTGCGAGAAGTCCCTGTGAGAGCAGTTCCTCCGACCGGATAATCGTCAACCGCGATATTTGGACGCATAACGTGGCGCAGTATAGGAGACGAGCATCTGGCGGACTCTCGTCCTTGGTTTTAGCCAAATAATGTAGGAATGGACGGTAAAGAAGGGCTTGTTCATAATGATGAACCATTTCCAGTTCATAGGTTACACTTTGTGGAAGCATCGCTCAGTAAAGCTTCTGAACCTCGCATGAGCCGAACTTACCTGCGTGTGGCATCTGTTCCCTCGGCGGGTCCTAAAGCATCCGCCAGTCCCTCTCGCCAGGCTTTCAATTCTTCTTTGATTTCATCCATGGTCGTTTCACTGACCGGGAACATCTTCGAGACGTTAACCATCCCGGCCTCTTGGTCGGTTTTGGGATACAATTTTCCCACCCCTTTCCGAGAAATGATTAAAAGTTCGAGATACTGGGCAGAAGCAGCCAGGATCCGTCGACTCGTGGCCGAGGACACGCCGCCATTCTCTTCATTGCAATAGCCACGAGAGAGGCCACTTGGTTTAATTTGGTCAACGTGCCTCAGATCCATCAGCAAGGGCTGCCCGAGTGCGCCACTATTGTACAAGTCAAGTTTGACCACCGTCCAGAATGTGCGTATCCTGACCTCTCGAGAAAGTGGTGTCAAGCCGCTACAAGACGTTTGTAAATGTAAACCCATGCGCATGCAAGCTGACACCGCTAAAGCGATCAGGGTCTGTGCGGACGCCAGTCTCGAGGTAGATATCAGGAATAGAGCCAGGCATGTCAGAGCCTGCAACCCAAGAATACCCCGATCTCGATCGAGTTCGATCATGCCGCGGGCAAAGATGAAATGACGCATCCTAGGAAACTGGTCAGTCCTGAGATATTGAAAAGAACTTAAGGCTTCATACGCTTGATCCCGAGCTCCCTTGCAACCGTAAGTTTGATGTGTGGTCTGATCGAATAGGTAGCCCAGTGCCATCACCGAATGGAATAGAGGGAGAAAGTCGTGGTCCAAGTCTTCCAAATCTAACAGATCAAGGTGGTAAATACGATCGACGTATTGTCGAACCGTGGGTTCGTGCATAAACTGGAACAAGGGGTACACGTTGCCAAAATAAGTGTCCAGTAGGTCCAAAGCCGTCTGCTGTGACGGTAGATGTTGAGAAGACAACAGATCGATCTGCAAACCCTGAGGGTCCCAAGGTGGAGATTCGAAAAGCCTCAATAAGACATGGTGTGGTCGTTCAGGGCTGACGCTTCCATGCTGTGGAGAATTGGGAGGGAAAAGTTGCAGGGTGTCGTAAAGGAAGCAGAGGCCTGAAGTCGCGCCATAGTAGACACCGGATCCTTGATCTAGGGGCAAAAGACCCTTTCCTATCATCATGTCCTCCAGATATCCGCCCTGGCCTCCAACCGTCACGCCTGAGGCAGTGTCAGACGCCGGGGAAGGGGACACCGGGGGAGAATCAAAAATGCCAGCGACCTCAGCCGCCGGGAGGAGAGCCGGATTTTGTGCTTGAAGTTTTCTTATCAAGTGCCGTGCGCGCCGTAATCGGTCCTCCAAGATTTTGGTACGCGGTGCACCTGCCACCTTTTGCCCTGCAGTGGATGTCAATGTGCAATCTGTTCCAGAACTACCTGTCAACGATGGCTTGTTACCCTGGAGGATAGACTTACGCCTCTCGAAGTCCTCGCACGGCTCACACGGCTGTCTGCCGTTGCACCGGATCTTACGGGCGCGGCATTCACTGCATGCCCGGCTGGTCCGAGAGAATCGCCTCTTCTTTGACGACCCCGGGGCGCCAGGGTTACCAGGCTGGGTGTCACGTTCTTGTTGCATGGCGGCATTGTACTCGACCAGTAGTCTCCATTCCCATTCTCATTTTCATGCTCCCCAGTCCTCCTGAAGGGGCTGGATGATTCTTTTATTCTTTCGGTTGGTAATTTCTACCGTGAGGCACGCCAGCTGAAGACGCGGTGAGCCACGGTTTGACGCATGGCCTTGCACGGGGACAGGCGGTTTGGCTGGGAGGACGCATTCTCACTGGACCCGTGGGAGGCTGAGGCGAGGATGGCGGGGCGTCGAGGAGATCGAGGGGGAGAATTTTGATGTCAAACGGGTGACCACAGTCGTCACTGACATCTCGCCTTGTTCGAGATGAACGCAGTTTAGACGATCAGTTATGTACTTTTCTGAGGCACATTGAGTTGGGAAGGGGAGAGACGAGATCGTCATTCGTTGAATGGAAAAGTGCTTGGAGACAGAATAACCGGAAGGGCAGTCCATCATGCAAGATCGTGCGTTAGTGTATGTGCGTAGGATCCGAACCGTGGGAGGGAAATCCGGCTGAGTCAAGCTGAACCAAGGGTGTTTTTACAAAGTCGGCCATGATGCGTGGTTGGATGCCGCTGTCGACCATGACGGAGAGGAGAAAAGAAAAGCAATCGGGGGGTTGCGAGGGGGGGGGCGGGATGGGTTCAATTGCAGAATTGGGAGGGGAGCTTGGACTCTCTCTCTCGCTCTCTCACACACAAACGTCTACAAAATTATTGGGAATTGCTCAGGGGAAGTTGTTGTAGACTATCGATGGTAAATGTAATTCGACGTACGGAGAACTTTACGGAAGAACACCACCGAGAGGATCGGGCTCAGTTGATCTGACTGGTCTTTTCCAACCATCCAAGAGGCCATGGTTCTGCCTGTACGTGGTATAGGACTTTCGCCATCCGACAGCACGAGCGGTCTGATCAAGAGAAAGCGGCGGGAAAGTCGATGAGCGGTTCTTTGACGCGTGAAGTCCTTCAGGTCACGGCTCGCTCTAGGTAAGAAATGCTCGTCAGGAAACGATAAAAAGCGATCGATGGGTTGAAGGTTATTACCCGCTTGGCCGAGTTTGGGAGCTCCCTTCACCCCCGTTATTTTACTTAGGGCCCATCCGAAGTGACTGAGGACAGTGTCACCCATGTTTTCACGGTAGTGCCGGAAGACTTGGTGCGGGTAGAGGAGGCAGAACTCGATGAACGAGCACATGCCTGGCGGATGGCGTTCAGTGCACCAAGGGCTTCGTGCTCGTAGGTGACGGAGCCGACCTAAATCGGCAGCATCCAGGAGGTAAAAGGTCTTCCCCAGTCTCGTGAGATATACATGTTGTCGGATCCAATCCCGGTCCTCCGGTCTGCTGTTCTCTGTCCCCCATTCGATCCTTCGATACACTGGCAGGATGTGGCGCTTCCTTGTCCGAGCCAACAAGTCCCGAGCGAGGAATCCAGCGAGGGCGAGGGCAGCTAAGGACAGGGTGGCGTCAATTGTCGACAGGTGTGTGAGCATTGCTTGATGAGTTGATCCCATGGCGGAAGCCTGCAAGCTCTCGACCCTGAGAGGGCCTTGACCCGGCTATTAATATCCCGGACCCCCTCCCTTGTACCAGCTGAGCTTAGACAGCTTTCTCACTTGAGTTAAATAGCGTTGAGCTTATGTGCTTGGGACTTACTTGAATGAAACGGCCGTGCTCTACGATCCCCACTAGTACCTAACACTAGTGATTTCTAAACAGCTGTACGCAGTACATCCCCCGGTCTGACTACCAACCTCACTGCCCACTCTTCATGGCCTTACCCCTTTTTGGGGAAGGTGTCTGAGAGGCGACGTCTGGATGTTCACGATATGCCATACCAGGGGTGCTAGGTGCAGTATTACCCATATTACTCGTTGAAAATAACAACACATAGATTGTGTCCAGGGTGGCACACCTGGGACGGAGGTGATTCCCAGCTAACTTCAACATCTTCCACGATCACTCGCACCTTTAGGCTCAGTTTCGGCGCATGAGAGCACTGTTGAAAGGAGGTGGTTTGCTCAGGCTACTCTTAGAGAGTTCGAAAATGGTCCATGGAAACCGGATTGGAAGTTCCTAAAGTCAAGCACGGATCCGATCTCCGGGCAAATACTTTCGGAATAGTTAGTAACGAGTACTCTTTGTTGGCAAAAAGCGTCCCGAACACCTAGTTTTCCTGCCAGCCCCACGAAGGTCTGAAGAGGGTAAACCACTGCATTGAGTCATGATAGGCTAGCTGACTGCATCCACCCAAACGCCACCCGGAGCTGTCGCGGCGACTTTGTTCGATGACGGAAGACCCAGGCTCCGATCGCATGGTTTGATAGCGACGCCTTCTTTTTCGAAGCCTTAGGCTTGCTGCTACCCCTCTTAAGGCAGTGTGCAGGCTCAGACATGATCGGTAGTGCTTCATCTTACTTAACAAGTACTTTAATAGTTCGTCAAAATCGGTGTTGGCTTAGCATCAACGATAAGGTCAAGTAATGGCAGAATGTCGTTACACTGGGTATGGTATAGTGTCTTAGGTGAAACTCGCTCACTATGGAGACGGACAACCGCCGGTGATCAAAACCTCTGCCTTTTCCTCTTCCTCATCGCGGGACCAGCGGACCGTCCGGGTGTGACAGTGGCTTCTTCTGCCTGGGCGGAATTTTGCGGTTCCTCGGTCATATATTCAGTTGATAATTTGACAATCCGTAGTTCCATCAAGTTCTGATACTCGCCATTTCCAAGGCATTGGCGTAGGGGTGTTTCAGGCAGCGACCGAAGAGCCGATTGGGCCGGGTCCACTCTGCTTCGCCATTCCTGGTGATTTCGTTCCCAAGTCTCTAGTGTTTTGGTGACCTTGACTTTGTGATTTTGTCCACTCCCCTCCGTAGTCTTCTTGTAGTGATACGGCAAATGCCGAACGAAGGCGTAGTACTGTTCGTTAGGAATGGTGAAAAGATGAACCTCTTTGTTTGGATCGCCCAGAAACTCACGCACAAGAGAGCAATAAGTACAATTTGACTCATCACAGCTTTGGATATCATCCGGTAAGGACCAGTCCTGCGGCTTTGGAGGCTCCTTCTGTACCACCCTCTCAATATAGGTAGAGATGACTTTGGAGTAGAATAGAGAAGCCTTAAATGGTTGATGCTTGGTGATGTCGATCATTCCACGCAGGAGTGGAATAATGAGACGGTCAAGGTCGTCGTGGTGAATTATGGCAGTGCCATTCGCGATATTTTCAAGAAGCTGTCCCGCCTTAACCAAATCGTCTCTGACAAGTCGATACAGAGACACGATGACAGCGGCGTCCTTCTTGCCTCTCTCGTTGTCATCTAGACTGATATCTGGCCATGAAGAAAAAGGATAGTCCTCTCGGGGGCACTCTTGTTTCGAAAATGACGAAAATTGGTGCAACTGGAAAGAGGAGATGGCCGTATCCAAAATTAGCGAGAGAAGGTGTTTCACTAAGTCTGGCTTCTGAACTGTTTCGGAGTAGCAGAGAGTTTCTACTAAGAGCGCGTTTGCGAAGGTCGCATCATCCGTAAAGCGCCCTACAAAAGTGTCCATACTATTTGAGCAATGAATGATCAGCAAGCATCCTAGTAAGGAGAACACGAACCTAGATACGGCCACCCCGGAATTCAGTTAAGAAGCTTACCTTTTCCAGAGACTTTCGTCCTCATAGGTACTCATGATCTGAACCACAGCCCCTGCATCCTGGGGTAAGACCTTTGTGATCGAATTTAAAGCCTTGCGAAGGATATGCAGTGCCCATTGGTAAACCTCGCCTTCTAATCTTTTGCTCGGGTCCGGTTGAGTAGTGTCGGATATACCAGAGAGGAATGCTCGGAGGCCGCGATCGACTAGATGCAGTTTCGAAATCCGAGAAAATGTCTTCGTGGAACTAAAATAATTAGTGGAGGGAATGAAACAATTCCCAACAAAGCTTACAATTTCCTCGTTTTCTCAAATCCCAGCATGCCGAGGTTCTGAAAGGTGGATGTGTTGAAGCTATCCTCCACACCACCAAGAGCGGCATTAGCCACTTCAAGGTTCTCGATACGGAGTGACGCTATTGCTGTTGGACCCATGAAATCATCTTTAGTGCGACTCTGATTGTACCGTCCTTCAATATGCCTTTGGCATGTCTGGACGATCATTTCGCGGAAGAGACAACGTTCATCGCTGTTCTTGTCCTTGAGATTGGTAAAAAGCTGTTCAAGAAATTCCGAGTACTCTGTAAGCCTCTGGCCATTGTCAAGGAGAAACTCTGAGTACTCCGTAAGCCTCTGGCCACTGCCAAGGAGAAATTCTGTCATCTGGCCCCGAGAGACAATGACAGCAACCTATATAGATTGTAAGAACAGATACGAAATCAATTCAGCAGAACACGTACAGCATCATGGTAAACTTGCGTGATGTAAGCATACCGATCGGCCCCCAAGTGTTCCCCTCCCCATTGTTTTTCGTGCTCACGAGCCTCATACAGGTTTCTCTGTACGAGGCAGTCTTTCCTTATCACTAGGGAATCTTGAAGCTTGAGGCCTTGCAGAGTGACAATATCTTGTAGACTGAGCTCTTCCCCCCCGTCTTCCAAGTGCCACTTGTCGTTGATTCGAGTCACGGTTAGTTCTAACCGGGATAGAAAAACACAGAAGCGACCATTTGATTGGCAAGCTTTGGCAAGCTGAGAACAGCGGTAATAGTCGTCACCTTTGAGACCACTCAGTTGGAGTCTTGCACCGGTATATTTGTGCTGAAGAACGTAACACATGGACCATGGCCAGTCTTGCATAGAATACCATTCGGTGAGCATCCGGTCGATTTTGGATTGTTCATTGTCCAGTACAGCAGCTGAAAGGCGACGTTCAACAGTAGTATTGATGAGGTTGTACGTTAAAACGACTCGGTATCCTGACTGAACCGGCAACACCTTTTCCTGTGAGTTGTGGTATGATACCGGATTGATATAAAGGCCTTACCTCATGAGATACGTCACTATACCTTCAATACCAATTAGCATAAGAATACCTTGGACGAGGTGCGAGCTTACCAAGCCAAATACGAGACACCATAAGTAGAGCACTGGTCTGTTTCGAGCACTTTCTCTTCCTTTCCATGAATCATGCGCACCCCGCCGCCAGCGTGCTTGGAGGGTAAGCAAACAACCAGTGTTCCAAACATGTTTCTTGTCTTCTCCGTGCTGTAACTGTCAGCAACTATGCAAGATGTGAGGTTCTCGCTCCGACGTACTCTTTGTGAGGTTTGAAAAAGGCACCCTCCTCGTACACTAGTAGCTTGTACAGCTCGGCTTGTACACTGCCAGCACCTCCATGGATACCCAAGCCTATGGAGACATTTTCAAGAACCCGATCAAGCCAGCTATTCCAGCCTTCATTTTCGAACGACAACTCTTTTCCGTCGATCTCCCAGGTCTTCCCGACAGTCTGATCAACCACCGTTTTTCTTCCCTTGCCAAAACGCGCTTGGCGGCTCACTCGAATGAGAGCATTGGCATCTTCACGACATAAGGGAAGTCTGATAAGGCCGACACCTTTGACGGTTAGACCGGGGTGTATGTGCTCGATGTTGTGGGCAAATGTTGCAAAAGACCCTGCGCTATGTATTCCATCAAGACAGCCTAAGATTTGAGATCTCAAGTGCTCGAGGGAGTGCTCTTCGTCTGAGAAATCTTCTTCGGAGCTCATGGTGACTAGGACAAAGATCTATGCACCCTTCGAATTGGTGAACAATGAACAATAACCGAGAAGCCCCGCGAAAATCAAATCTAAGGAGAGGAGATCATGGGAATGAGAATGAAAATATTCACGAAAAGATTTTATGGGACCCAGACTTTCAATAAAGCGTTTGCGTCCCCCTGTAGAAGCCGTTCAATTATTCGATTGCACGGTTCGAGGGGGCTGAACCCACTCATGTCATGGTGGTCGTTGTCGGTCATTTATAGCTAACCAACGCCCCTCCAGCAGCTAGGCATAGTTAGCTGCGGCCGTCATGGCGGCTACTCTCGAAAATCGATAGGCTAGCCTGATACTACGCTAGAAGAGAAGTTGACGTGGCTGTCCTCGAGTCTTCCTACGAGCTCCCTTGCAGGTATCAAACGTTTACGGCTTCATGAGCTTACGCCTTGTTGAGTTACCAGGCGTCCCCCAGTCGCAGGTGTTGTCCGATTCGAAGTCCTTCACCCTACCTGCGTTGCCGCCCGAGATGCAGGATTAAAGTTCTGCTAGAATTATCACGTGTGATTGATAGTTTTCCTTATTCATCACTTACCAAACGAGAGTCAAGCGACATACAAACGTGTCGTCTCGAGATCGAAGCAGAGGGCGTTCATTTCAGCACGAAAGCAGGGACGATGAGTTCCCAGCTCCGCCTTCACCACGAGCTAATGGCACTAATCGCATTGGTGTGATCGTGCCTTGGACTTTCCTTGTCTTTATCAGTATAATCAGTATTCATGCTGAAAGGATGCCACAGTCCATGATATGGTCTTCACCTGATCAGATCACTTGAGTTCTGTGACCGGATTCTCCTGTGCAGATGGTGGTGGGCACCGCCAGAGCAATATGGAAAGAATTAACGACGAACCACCAGACTTCATGCCATACGGCCTCTCAGCCCCGTACAACCGGGATGGATATGGAAGTTCGGGAGTTGAACTATCTAGCTAAGCCCGGTGACTGTGTGCAGCCCACTATCCTCTCCAAGAGGACCTCGGAGGCAAAAACATCATGCTAGGCGTCTACGCTTCATCGCTCTCATTTCAGTTGCTTTAGTGTCGAAGAGTTTCCATTTCCTTGACAACGAAGTTACCTCGTGGAGCCAGTAATGGCCACTACATCTTGGACTGTCTGATCGTGGCTCGCTAAGGACGCACAGGCCACTTCCAGAACACGTTTTGGGTCTGTACCGGAATCGTTGATCCTCCGCATTCAGCGCGATCTCATCAAGTAACTTGAATGTCACCTAGCTTGCGACCATCCCACAAAACCTCTGAGCGCGATGGGTAGGTACGGAGAGGATAGTCCAAAACCATTCCCTCAAGCTCCAGAAAGATTCGCTGCAGCTTTGTCCAAGCAGAGTTTTCATCTGCAGTTTGGAGAAGAAAGACCACCAACGGACACGACCCGAGAAGACTGTGTCGAGCGGCCTGCTTTAAGAACGTCTCAGCAAATGGCTCGTAGCTCATGTAAATCACCTGTCGCTTGTAGTAAGACTTGATGATTTCCATCACGACTAGTCCCTGATGAAGTGTAGGCTTCGGTGTATCCAGAACGAAACCATCCCCTCAGCATTTGGCTACGCTTGCAATGTTTTCTGGGGTAAAGTAGGGGAGATCTCCAGGTTCCCCTGCATTTGCCAAGTCGGACAGTGTGTAGATCTCAGAAATGTCGTCCAGGGGAATAAACAGAAATATAGGCCGCTCGCGCTTTTTGTCCTGCACTGTTCTCGGCTTGCAAGATTTCGAATCTCGTTGCTTGTTCCGCTTGGTTCGCGCCTTTCCACAACATCGTTCTTTACGCAGCCGGGCATCTCTGAAGGCGCGGGGTAGGCCATGTTCTCGACTGACGATTCGGCCTTCTTGGGAAATATCGACCATCAAACTTTGTGGAGCACCGGAGTCGACGTCAAGAGACCGCCGAAAAATTGAGCGGGGGACAACAAAACGACACCGATGTTGAGAGTGCGAATCCTCCACAACAAGGCAAGCGCTGCTTTCCTGGAGAACTTGAAGCTGATGGAGAGTAAAATCAAGCGTGGCCACCGGGATGGTGTTCGAGCGCATGTGGAGAAGATTTGTGTCGCTCGAACCCATGAAACCCGGCGAGCAGCAGCCGGCTAGGATCGACGAATTGAACCGGCCAGTGGGACAGGGAGACGGGGGGTGCAATAGAATAGACTTGAAAGACCTATACTCACCGCGATGCCGCCGGTGGCGATGACGTTGACCATGCTATGGGAACCACAACCAGAAGAACCAAACCAGGTGATGGACCTGTCTGAGTCGAAGACCCAACCGATTAAGCCAACCACTCAGTGGATTTTAATTTCCTGGTTTCTCAAAAGCGTTCGTTCAAAAATCCAGAAGTGCCAGAAGTGCCCGCCCTGCTCGGCAAGAATGGGAGAAACCAAGCCGTCAACAATCCCCATCAATCTGTGTGTGCTATAACTTTTTGAACCTCCCAGAAAGCAAAGACAAGAGCAGTCCATTGGACATCTACTTGGTCTTCTCGCCACAGGACCAGGAGACTGGAGAAGGTGGAGGCGGAGGGGGTTGCTGCTCAAGGTGTTGCTCAGGGCGTTGTTTTTGGTCGTACTTGGGATCGGCTGAGGCTCTCAGTGCTTGGTGTATAGCTCGGCAGGACTTCTTACTGGAGAGAACGGTGGAACGATAAGATGATCGCTGCATGATGCAGATTTGATTGAGAGATCGGACAGGTGTACGTCAAGGCTAGTTTAAGATCCTGCACAGGGGCGGACTCGCTCTGGACCGTGTGGTAATTGTGATTGCCTCCGTGAGCTAGTGAATCCGATGGGCGTGGTGTGCGTATGGTTCGAGATGAGCTTAGGTGAGGGAGTACAGGTGGACGTGGGGATAAGTGAGATCGGGAAGGTACGGTATGAACGTCGATCAAAAGAGTTTGGAGAGGGGACGTCAATTGGCGGGAAAGCTGGTAGGTCGAGTTGGGCTGTATATGGGTTGGAAGAGGACCTAGAACATTGACCGTGGGAAGGGGGAAAGGGCCCGGACTTTGTACTCAGTAAAGGGAGTCAAGTGAAAGCTAGACGGCCCCTTCTATTAGGCTGTTGAGAAACCTGAATCTAGCGGTCAAGGAGAGACAGACAGAGAGGTGGGGATTGTCGGCTTTTTGGCACCTAGTAGTTGGTGGTATACCGCCCCTAGTTCGTTGGTCGTGGTGCCAACGCCCATGCCCGAGCTCCCCAAAGGCCGAATTTATTTCCTCAGGAGACGAGACTCCCCTGGTGATCACTCGTGGGCCCGCGCAGGTTATGACGACCGTGAGCCAGGCACTGTACATTTCTCCACAATACGATATATGGTTTATGGTTGAGAAGCTTGAGACACAACGCCGATATCTATTTTCTGTCATTCGAAACGGTTCTTCATCATTTCTTTCTACACTTCGCGGCAGAGTGAGACCAGAGGTGCTTTTCTTGGAGTAGATTGACCCGGATCCCACGTTGGGGGAGAGCTGGACCACTATGGTGCTGTGGGCAGGAGGGGCCTCGGGAGAAGCTTGAGATGTCCCTTTGCCGACGCACAAGGGCACGTAACGGTCTAGTACCGCTTGACGATCGTGTTCCTACGGGACAGCAGAGCCGTGATCACGTAAACAGGCTTAGCTGACGTGCGTTTCGCGCCAGGGTATGTACATGTATTCTGTGAATGGAGACGGGAAAAGACGGTTATTGTTCATTTTGCGCAACTTACTGATACACACCGTGCAGTGAGACGCTTACTAGAACGGTGTTGCTCTTGTCTCTTTCGACACGTTCGCTCTCGACTTCTCGATGACGATCCCGGTCGTGCTTCGTGACGGGGAGCCGCAGCGATGAGAGGGTGCGTTGAAATATCCACGTTTCCTGACCAGGGAACGTGATAAACAGGCCGTTGGTACAGAAGGCTCCTTTTTACCAACGGCCATGAACCCCACATACAAGACGGAGTCTGATGGTTCGGAAGGATCAGCGCGGAGTGTAGGTACGTCGTGGTTCCCACAACGGGGATCGGTCTGCGGGAATGGCTTGCGCAATGTGACATTCGATGTAATATCTTATTCCTGCTCTTTTGCTCTCTTTCAATGTGAGGGGTGGGCTCGGTCGGCCGGGCCCATGGGACCATGGGACCATGGTAGGAGTCACCCGAACTCCTTCTTTCGTTGTTCTTTTATCCTTTCCGTCACCATGTGGGCGGTGACGATATCGTCCACAGAAGACCGTAAAGCAGTACGTGGGTGATATTTCCTCGGTGGATATATGTTGGCCGTGCCGAGGCTCGTCCTTTTTCAATCGATCTCTTTCGCGCCGGGTTAACTAGGCGTCAATTGACTCGAACGGCCTTCTGGCCATTGGCAAGACGAGGACATGCCGTGTCGCGATGGCTGGTTCGCACGACCCCGTGGTTCCAGGTGTAAAATCAATCGGAACGCTCTCGGCGCGAGACGAGAGAGAACAAGTTACTCGACAACGAGGGCTTACATCATTGATCTCCGAGATAGGGGAGGGAGATGTGTCGGTGCGAGAGTGAGGACAGACGAGGGAAGAAGAGCTTGGAGGAGGGCACCTGTGGAACGGAGAAAGGTGATTATTTTTATTCCAGCTCACTAGACTTGTTGCGGGGACACCCCCGAGGCGTGACACCGCTGCCGTCGTCTCGGCGAGCCACTCGAGAAAGTCCTGGTCGCAACGGCCTTGATGCTAATCCTCAGGCGGGGGAATGGGCGCCGAGGGTCAGGTGAGGGTACGAAAGATTCGCATCTCATGTCATGCAAGGCGCTAGATATATATCTATGCACATATCTCCGGATGGCGAGTTTACTGGTATTAGGACCGCTATGACAGCCGTAGGGAGGGTTGGGGGGGAGGGGGTAACATTGCGCCTGGCCATAAATCTGGTACTACATCAATGGTTCCTTTACTGTAGTACATACTAAGTTATATAATCAGG